GAAAGAGTTCCTCTGTTCCTGAAACCTGTGCTGATTTCAGTTAAATATTGTGCTTCCTGCACTCAGTAGATGACAGAGGCCAAAATAAGATAGAATTGAAGGGAGAACTAAATGCACCGTGTCCCAGTCACACATGAAATGTTTGTGCCAATGCAGTTCTGATGTCTTTCTAGGTCAGTATTTACTTACCAGTGCTGAAAACAATGAAGAGTGTTGTGGAGAGAATGAAGAATCTCAGTAATTACATTGTAAGTTAAGGCACTTCAGACGTGTGTCCTACAGACCTTATTTTATCTTGGCCATAGCATGTTTCCCTGTTGCCCAAACTGGTGTCCCATGTTTATCTTATTTTGGGATAAGACATTGCACGAAAGGCATCTGAAGGCTCTCTAAGGGTTGAAGATAACAATGGGATTTATTTTAGGATTAACACTGAAGAGCTTGTCCTGGGCTTCCTGGAAAGCTTTCCTTCTTTATACTGATTCCTTGGAAGAACTGTGTTGCTGCTACAAGCCACTCCTTATAGCTGGTAGGAAATTGTGATTGTTGTGGAGGCCACCTGCAGACTTCCGAGGTGATTTCATTAAAGAAATGCCCTTTAAGTGAATCTTGTGTTAGATGTCTGGAATTAACTTAAGGTAAACTTGAGGAAGGATGATTTAAAGGAAATCCTACTCAGAGCTCCTGGTTGTCAGCCTGTACTTTAGACTCTGACATGGTGGGTTTCCAGTCCACCCTGGCTTTCTGGAGTGCTGGTGCAAATGCAGGAAACCTTGCATTTCTCTAGCTTCAGTCTCCTATTTGTAAAGCCTTTCCGCAACACATCAGCTTCCCAAAGCCAGTGTTTGTTTTAGAATTACTGGAATGTAATTATATTTCTTTCTTTTCATAATTTCAAGGAGGTTAATCTAGGATACATCTCACAGGAATAATGAGATATGCTTTTTGTAGCTGAGCTTTCAAGTGTTCAAACCATCTTCAGAAAGTACAGTTCAGCTGTGAGAGCAGTGAAGTGCTTTTGGAAGCTTGTACTTGAACAAAGCTGCACTTTATTCTTCTGTAATTCTTCAGTGTGAAAGAGGCTTGCCTAAAACTGAGATTGATTGTATTGCAGATGATTGAAGCAAACTTGAGTGGAGAAATGAACTTGAAAATAGAAACTGACTTAGTTTGTGTAACTACACATTTTAAAGACTTGGGAAATCCTTCCTGGGGTAAGTTTCCAGGTTTGTTGCCTCTTGTGGCTGATTTCAGTGTGATGCTGATAACAGTACTTACCTTCTGGTAGTCCTTACAAAGTAGCATCAAGTACTCTGAGTTTTTTCAAATGAAACCTTAAAAAGTGGCCAATGGCTATTTCATGTTAGTGAGGGAATTCCAGTATCCTTAACAACTTTGTAGGAAAACTGGGCTTTCTCTTCCTTGTCCTGCTGTTTCTGAAAACAACCCCTTTGGGTACCAGCTGTTCAGTGATTGTCAGGTGTGTTCCTGTAGGTGTTGCAACTCCTGATGTTTTGACCAAGTGTTGTGTTCTTATACTTTTAGCATTAGAGGATGGATGTCAAAGTTCTCAAGACAGAGATCCAGAAAGCATGGCTGAGGCACGCATAGACATCAGGAAGCTGCAGCAGCTGCTTGCTGGACAGCAGGTCAACCCCACAAAAGCATTGTGCAGTAAGTTCAGCAGCTGTGCTTGCTAACTCCAGTAAAGGAGAGATCTTTGCCATATTTGTCTCAGCAGAACAGCAGATCTTCTGTCTCGTCTGTTTGAAACTTGACTGATTTTACTATACCTGAGGACTTTTAATATTTCTTAAAAGCCCCCAGTTTGTAGCAGGGTTTTATATTTGATTTTGATAACTTTGCATGCTTTTCCTGAGAACATCTGTTGAGTTACGGTTTAATGCAGATACTTCCTGAGGAAGATTTAAGTCATGAGTATAGCATTATAGGCCTATACCTTACGTCCTTCCTTTTTGGTATCAGCTTTCATAGACTTTTAAATAATGCTTCATAGACCCACGAGGACTTAAATACTACAGGATGGATGGTATGTCTAGTCATCCTTCTGTCAGAAGTGGTAGAAGCATTGTATTCTGATGATGGCATTCTGTAGAAGATTTAAAGTATTTTTCCTTCTTTAAATTGGATTTGTGGTGGTTTTTTCTCTTTACAGATATTGTAAGTAAAAGAATTGTCCACTTCATCTTGCTTCATGAGGACGTTTCACTTCAGTATTTCATTCCAGCACTTACCTGAATACTTTGGAATCTCGGTAATTTTCCAACCTGGGGCCTTTTCCTTCAAGTCTGAAAACTTTCATGAGTTGCTGGAGTACTCTCATGTGATATGCTGTTAGATACAGCCATTAGATGGACATTATTTCCTTATTTATGAAATTATTCAGAACATCTCCTCATCCAGAAGGCCATTTTTGTGAAGAGTTACATGCTATGAAAGATACAACACTGGGGAACTGGCATATATGAGCATAATGGGCAGCAAAGCTGAAAGTTGTATGTGCATCTGGGATGCTTTGAGATGCAGGGAAAGGGAAGGCAATGTAGGGGTGTTCCTCCTTGACAAGCATAAAGGTAGACATGGCCTCTGGAGCTGCTGCTGTGTGTATCCAGTGTTGGACAGTACAGCTCCAAGTTAAGCTGTTATACTTCCGTGGAGTAGGAGAGTGACAGATTGGTATCTGCTTATAATATAGAAGTTATAATTGTGAGAACATTTATTTTTTGTTAAAAAACAGTCCCAAACAAACACCACAAGTGGGAGTATGCTGGTACAGGTCAGGAGTATGCCATTTCATATCCTGGAGGGGAAGACACTAGACACACCAACAGAGGTGAAATCTCTCCAGCCCCAGGGCTTTCTTACCCTTCCCACCTAAATAGAGCACAAGGATACAGCTCAGTCCTGCAATCCAGTTGATGTGTACGTGCTGATCAGAGGGAAAATAATACTCAGTTTTAAACCTGCTGTCATCTGTGAATCCAGCTGTTGGAGCCTTGAGGGCAGTACTGGGTCTTGTAGGGCCTAAGCAGCCTCACCAGGGACCCCTATCCATCCCCTTCCATGGGCCCACAGATCCCATTTCAGCTCGGGCTGTGGTATCCTGTACTCCTATGCTGCAGGTGGGCCAGGGCCCAGCCCCGTTCCTGGATTGATGTTTATTGAAGCCACTTGTATGCCACTGCTACCTTAATTTTGCTGAGCAGGATATGGTACAAGACTTTTATTCTGTTGCTGAAGATGATGTTCCTGACCTCTTGCTGATAGGAACTTGGAGTAGCTGCTCCTGAACATGACTATGTAGTACACAAGGTTGTGTGTGTACTTTTTGTATGTTTACTGGAAGTTTCTGCCTGGACTTTAATCCAACATTTGTTACATGAAAGCACCTCTGCAGCTGAGAGCTTATGCTTTGTAAGTCATTTTAAACTGACAAGTTCCTACATTGAATTGGAGTATTTTGGTTCTGCTTCCTAAGGGAACAGTGCTGCATTTTTCTGTAGTTCTGTTCAAATGTCACCCGTGCATGTAATTCTGGTCCTTCTGATCACTCAGTTCCTTTACAGTATTCTAGCTCTCCTATCCTCTTTATCCATTTTGCATGGAAATGCTAGTTTGTAAGTAAAATTAAAAGGTACTTGGACACTGTAAAGCATCACACATGCAATTAACATTCCAAACAGAGGAGGCAAATAGAAGAAATGATGAAGTTATATTCAGCTTATATTTGCTTCTTTTTTTACAGTAGATTTGCTGGGTTGACTTTAATTCTTTGGACTGAATTCAGGGTAGTGTAATTGCCATTGGTCTATATTTAAATCACAGTATTTCCCAGAAAGATTAATCAAAACAGTTGTTCTGGATGCAGTGCAGACTGAAAGTTACTTATGGAGCACAAACCCAGGTTTTTACAGAGGCTTGTAATACTGATCTATCTGTCGATGTTTTGAAAGCTAGTGAAAGTACTTCTACTGTCATATATTGCCTAAGGTATCCCCACCCATTTTGTATCAGACACTGTACTGATTTCCTATCGCAGGGCTTTGGTTTCAAGGAATCTTAACGTGTAAATGTTAACTGCCTGTTTTTACATACTACCAACCTCTGCTATCATATATTCCTTTCATTCCTTTTTTCAAAGTATGTCTTAGAGGAGCTTGGAAGGGGATGAAAGCATAGAATTCCCTGAACCAACCACCAGCTGCTAAGATAGTAGTGAAAAATAGTAACTTTCTTTACCAGTTGTTTCATTCTGGCATTGCTCCGACATTTCACGTGGTATCTCACTCCTGGTGTAACTGACTTCTAAGTTCCGATGCTGCAGTATCTGCTGTGGTCTGACATTTAGTGGTACTTCCATTTAATCAAATTTCCTCAGATTTGGAACACCCAAGATTCTGTCAGGTTTAGGTAACAAGAGAAGAGAAACTTGAAATGTCAAAGGGTAAATTCTGAATATAAGAGGGGGCGTTTAGACAAGATGTTGACCCTGACCTAGGACCATCTGTCCTAGGGACCAGAGGATGCTCTCCACCCCTCACATCCAATGCCATCTGTCTTGTTCTGGCATAAGCCTTACACAGGCAAGTCTTCTGCCCTGTTGAGAAAACTTAGGAGGAAGTCAGATATATCTTACATGGCGTTTGACTTGCTCCTGGTTTTTCAGATGTACTTGCTTCTAAATTCACCTCCATGTTGAACTCTGCCTGGCCCTGAACAATTTTTCTATCTTTGCATTGAGTCACAACAGTTGTTAAAGAGCTCAGGCCCTTCATGACTCTTGGATTTGATTTTTGATTTTTGACCCTCTATATCTTCCATAAAACTTTGGGAAGCTCTTCATTTTTGACCTATGCAAATTTACACGTGCCACTTCAATATCGGGTTATATTCATCATTTAGAAGGCAATAAGAGTTAATTCAGAGAACGATGGCAAGTTTGTGCGTTCAGTTGAAACAAGCATTTCAAGAGACAGCCATGGAAATAGTTCTTGAGTAGCTTCAGGGTTACAAAGAATTTCTAGAAGATCCTCAGATCACTTGTACTTCTTCACATGCATATGGACTTTGTCCAACTCAGAGTTAAATCTTGCTTTGAATGTGTGTTCTGTGTGTTGAGTTTTTTGGTTCCCCACCTCCACTTGAAGTCTATAACAAGTAATAATAATGTATAGCCATGCAATGGCTGAATAACTGTCTGACAGACTGAATCCATTTGGCACTTTCTGTAACCACTCAAAACACATCTTACAAGGTCATCATCTGAGAACACTTAACAAACCTTTAGACCTATTTCTCATTGTTTATAGTTGTCCTAATATGATGTTGTGTGTTATGGTTTCCAGTTTACATTTCTAAGGTTAAATTCTGCAGTCACTACTCGGGTCTTACTAGACAAAGCTTCTGCATTGTTAGGCTCAACTCTTTGCTGAAGTGAGTAGCTAAAATCTCTCTGCCTTCAAGGAAGCGTTTTTGTGTGAGTCAGTGAATTGGTATAGAAACTTACCTATAACCTTTTGCTTTCCTTGCCTTCTGGTTACACACTACTATATTACTGATCCTTATTTTTATGCTGCTGTAGAAAAAGACTGCATATATTCTTTTGTTAATGCCACAGCAATTCAAATTTTGATTAGAAAAACAATAGAGGGTGCTAAAGAGCTGTAGGAAAATGCATTCCTCTGCCTTCCGAAGCAAAGCAAAGCTAGGAACAAGCAGGGGCCCACAGATAACATTTGTGAGAGGATGTGATTTATTTTTTTTTAATAGCCTTCCATAAATGCCATTTCTCAGATGGGCAGGTGGCCAGTGACTAAATGTAAGACTGGAATTGTTTAAACTTTGTAAGCTATGACAGAAATACTGTTTCTAGAGCAAGCATCATGAATAACCCAGTGAGATCATTTAGGCAGACCCTGAGAGATGCAATTGAACTGAGATGAGGTGACTAAATAGTTTACAGAATTTGGACTTGGGCCTCTCTGCGCTTCATCTATAAAACAAGAACCTTTGTACTAACAGCTGGGTGCAATACATGGCAAATAAATGCATGAAGGATTTCCTATGCATTTGGCTTCTCTGATAGAGGCTAAATCGCTCCATAGATACTTACTCAGGGACATCTGTATTCATGTGCATGGGCTGGTGCTATAAATGTTTTGCTACCCTTTCTTTAGGTGAGAGGACACGTGTTCAAGTCATAGTTAATAATTACTTAATCTCTCACTTCATGATGTACTATTGGTGACAATTTGAAGCACAATTTCTTCTAGTAAAGGAATGCTGGACTTCCCCACTCTTTGTACCAAGGTATTGACAAATTAGTTGATTTTTCTTCCACTTCCCGGATTTAAAGACCATCTTCTCTGAGCTTGCATGGGTTACTGTCATGTCATCTAACTATGGAAGATGCCAAGCTGGAGCTCAAAGTAATCTATTCTGGTATTCAGGAATCAGATAGACCTCCAGCAGTGGGAACTATGGCATCCTAAATGTACTCAGTCAAATGTCAGAAGTCTTTTCTAAAAGTGAAACCAGACATTTATGTGTTATGTAATACAAGCAAAAGTTAAATCATACTCGGATCTTCCAGCATTTTAAGTGATGTCCGCTCACGTGCTGGCACTTGGGCAATTTGCAGCAAGAACTGGGAACAACTTTAGCCTTTGTTGCACTCAGAGGAGCTGGCAGTGTTAGTAATTGCTAGAAAACTTTACTTACCATGGTCACTTTGGAGAATCAATCACTCCTCAAAGAACTTCGAAGCAAACTAGCAACTCAAGAAATTATTTCTAATATTGTGAAATAGTATGGCATAATTTGTACACAGGTATTAGACTTCTGATCAGTTCATATCTGTTAATTTATAGTGGCCACCTCTTCAGCTGGCATAAATCAGCTTAGTTCATTTGAAATCAGTAGCTACACCAGTTGATGCCAGCTGAAAGATACAGCTTTGTGAAGCTCTCAGTGATTTGGAGCAGGGAAGTAGCACAGGAACCCTCTTCATAGATCTTGGTTGTTACACTTCTTTTGGAAGCTGAAAATAAATTACAAGTTCCAGTCATGACGTTTGTATTTCCAGAAGGGATTGGCATTCCTGATGAAGATACAAACAGTGACATACCGTTGGCATGGGCGTTTGTTTTGATTTGGTTTGGCTTCTATGACACCAATGGTAACTATTTGACTAGGCCCCTTAGAGGCGAATGAGTGATGAACTCCCTCAAGTATGGTAT